ATGGCCCGAATGGTAGCAAAAATTTCAACAGCAGTCATTCGACTAACAAGGTTGTCGATGGCTTACTCTTTTGTGGATTGCTTGCAACCAAGCTGATGGCAAGTATGATTTCAAAGCATATATCAGTACCAATTTACCACCAAAATTTATCAAAAACCCTCGACCTTTTCATATTTAGAAGATAGCAAACTACGAAACCAACACCTTTTCAACAGGTAAAATACATATGTCAAACGGGAATAATAGTCAAACTGAGGCATACGATTTTAAAGTGAAGGACCTGGATAGCTCCATCTAATGGCTCTAGTCAATTCTTTTTTTTTTTTCTTGAAAACAAAAAAGGCGTTTTTTTTGAAAAAAACAAAAAAAGAACCCAAAAGCCTCGACCTTCCGTTTCCTAAGTTGTATGCCTCCAATTTTTTTTTTTTTTTTTTACCATTTCCATCACGAGTTACATACAATGTAAACAAAACCCCAAAGATCATATCTCGATAGCACCAGCACACTAAAACCTCACAGTTCGTGACAAAGTAAAAATATTAAACGATAGGTGTACCAGTTATCCATTTGTTAATTTAGAACCTGGTAGAGTGAAAAAAAAAAACGAAAAAAAAAAACATGAATAATCAGACCTTGTGGAATCGATTCACTGCTAACGCTTTTCGAATGGACAATAACGTTCGGACGAGCAACCCCACTGCTCGTTACTGTTTCTTTTTCTTCTGCAAAAAAAAAGCAATAAGATTTTTTACACTTCAATATCACTTAATTTTCTAGTTTCACGCTTTTGGTTCACAGACGAATTTTTGCGATTTGGCTAATTTGGCTTATTAACCTAGTAAACGAAAAAAAATTACCATGAATTTTAGCCAAAGACGATGGTGGCAGCATTTCCTGATAATTCGACCAAGGTGAGACGAGTCCCTGATGAGCCGGATGCTCTGCGCCATGTTCTCGAACAGTTTTCTGCAACAAGAGAAATCGTTCATCAGAAATATACAAAAAATGAAATATCTGTGACAAAACACTGCTTAGAAAACGCATATTTTTGGAACTAAAATTTAAAATCTCCACCATTTTGTTTTTTTTTTCCCGTCATTTTCCATTGGAAATTTAGAATTTTAAACAAAAATTATTTCCATCATTATTGAACAACCAGAAGTTTGTCCTCATCACCGAACAAACATAACCTTTTACAAGTGAAAATACACATGCATGGGAAGACTGCACACCGAAAGGCTGCTTGTCAGGTGAAGTAAATTTTACAATACCGCCGATCCCCGTAACAGGAGATAAGGGATTGTAGAAGCAATTCACTCCATGATCAGACCGGATCACAGCAACTTCCCCATCCCTCCCCCTCGTCTCCCGATAAATAGTATCAGTGTGGTTAGCTAAGGAGAAAAATTCAGTGCTCGAGATGAGCAATTACTCCCCAGTAACATCAGGAGAAAAATTTTTCCATACAAAAATTTCTTCCTTTTTTCAATTTTTTTTCAGTTTTTGAGTTTTTTTAAAATTTTGAAGATTTTTTAAAAAATTCAAAATTTCAAAAAAATTCTTCAGAATTTTTCGAAAAATTCGAAATCTCGAAAAAACAAAATTTTCAAAAAAATTTTCAATTTTCAACGCTTTTCGAAAAATTTTTCAAATTTTTCAAGAAATTCAAAATTCAAAAATTCAATAATTTTTAAAACTCTCATTTGAAATTGAATAGTCCAACCTGGTGTTCGCCGGTTGTTTTATGTTTTACCGGCAGGCCGAACATCTCCTCCTTTTCAATGCCAGGCCGCAGAAGTTGTGGACGCTCAGCCAAAGCCAACGAATCGGCGCATTTGTGCTCGAACGCATGGTAGCTCGAAGCAGTCGCGATACCCGGATAGAGCAATGAATTTGAGCGCTGAAAAAAAGATAATGCTGTCGAATGGAGCCCAAAAACGTATTATACTGTCGTGTAATGTTTAGGGGGAGAGGGAAGGGGGGCAAAAATATTCTAATAAGAATCATGTAAGATTCTTGATTTTTCAATCAGTCCCTCAATACATGAGAAAAAATGCCCTGAAAATTCCATATTATGTAAATATTTAGAGGCAAGGAATGTTCTTAATCCTAGTATTGCTCAACTGTGACGCGTAGCGACGTATAAAGCCTGTAAATCCATAAGCCCCACAGCCCAAAAGCGCAGAACCGGCCCAGCGAGAATGAAAGTTAGAACCAATCAAAAAACAGCGTAATTAAAATATATGGATCACATACCTGGAAGAATTCACCAATTGGCGCGCTTGACGAAGATCCGGTGGGTTTCTTTGCACCAGATGCCTGAAATCAGTGAAAATTATAAATACAATTTCAAAACAAGTTAAAGTTTAAAAAAATCCGTTTTTTGGATTAAAGTTTAAAAAAATCAAGTTAAAGTTTAAAAAAATCCGTTTTTTGGATGTCGGTGTTTATTGGGACTGTTGATCTTACGAGCTAGTCGGATACTCGCATGGCTCCCAGATATCCCGAGAAGCAGCGCCGGTTCTTTGTGACGGAGCTAAAATTCCTTGTTTGTGATACCCCGGCTTTGTGTGGGTCTTGTTGGTCACCCTGTACATCAGCGTCTGTGATCGAAGGAAGGAGGACATGGCTTCTGTTTATTATATAAGCGAGCCTTAGCTGAGGGTATAAATCAGTTCAGTTCCAGTTTTAATCTCCACATCGACGAGCAGCGAGTCTCGATTCCCACTTCGCCTCACAACACACATACACACACAGACACGCACACACACATCCACACATACACACAGACACACACCCATACACGCATACTCATTCACATCTACGACACAACATAGACAACCGGTCTCGTACCACCGCACGTCTTGACACTTGGCGCCACGTCACTATATGACATATCATTGTTCGCTTCTCGGGTTTTAAAATTTCAAATTTCAAAAAATTTTTCAAATCAAAATTTAAATCAAATAATTCAATATCTCAAAATCCAAAAAAGACTAAAATTCAAAATTTCAAAAACTTACCGGTTCATCATCGCCCTGGAACATGTCGATAAATTCTTTGCCAGTTGCCGTATTTTCTGTAGTGCCGGTGCCGGAAGCAATTTTGGCATCCAGTTTCTCGAGCATATCAATCAATGATAAATATGCATCGACCACAAAAGCCAGTGCACTGAGTGCATTGAATTCGATGATTGGTACGTCATCGCCATTTTCCGATGCATGTGAGCGCATCTGTGACATTATGTATCCGAAGAAATCTTCCAATGAAGCAGATGAATTTGCATTTTGCTCATCTGAAAACAGATTTCAACGTAACGATAACGGATAACTTATCTTTAATTTTTATTTTTAAAAATTTTTATTTTTAAATCGTTATCTTTAAAAACCTAAAGAGATAAATGTTATCAATTTTCAAAGCTTCAGCTTTAGATCCTGGCGTAAGACAAAACATAACGCAAAAAAAATGTGATATTTTTGTAATTTTATAACTTCAAAAATATCACATTTTGTTTTTCATTTTATTGCATATCACTAAAATATCACATATCACATTTT